AGTAACCATGTGTTCAAGACTGAGCTGCGCTATGAACAGGAACTATACAAGGTGACAGGACATATACAAACCCCCCACGCCTTAGGGGAAGGAATCCTTTTTGTAAGCCACCATACTATTTACTTTGTGGATTGTAGTAGTGAAGGAACGAAGACGGACCTCTTCCGAATTGGCTATGAACTGCGGTCCCGATTCTTCCCACTTTTCTGGCACCGCCAAATCTTTATCTGTGTATATCAGCAAGTCAAAGGCACCTGTAAGCAAGTGGGAGCAAATCAATGCATGTGTAAGAAAATGGCATGTTTGAAGCTAAAGTGCATCTTCTACGACTTGAGACACGTACCAAGGTTCTCAGAAGTTACACAGATACTAGTTACGTGAGAACAAATAGTTAAAGCATGAAATTAAGTCCTGATTATAGTCCTGTGTAGCTTTTTTAGTTCTCTCAAGCATGATGTGCAGATTTTTTTTAAACATGTTAAAATGCTGTGGAGCTGAGCTCATATGTTCCACTTAATATGAGCTCAATGGTTATTTATACAAGCCTGCCCACAGCTAGAGTCACAGAATAATTTATTATTTATGAAAATTACATTCCTCAAAGTACACATACGAGTTTCATTGTTAGACAAGCCACCCTGAGTTCTGTCCTTTTGACCAAAAAAAAAAAAAAAAGCTTTAAGTATTTTGGGGAAAAAGTACCACTAGTCCCTTTAAATGATGAAGTTGCTCCAAGTTCCTTAATGAGAGATGGCACACAGTATTTACATTTGCAATTATTTTTGCTGTTTCTTGTGCAAGAAACTATAGGAAAATTCTGAGAAGTATTTGATCCAACATACTGTTTTCCATACTGTAGACAATTGCAAGAGTCACGATCTTGGTTTAATGAAATGCTCTCAGAAATGTGACGGTATGTGACACGTAATAATTAAAGAGTCCCAGAAAATTAGCAGAAAAATATTTGCTAAAGTGGAAGAGGTGTTGAGGTTTTTAAATAAAAAAAAACCAAACACAGAAAAGCTTGATTTCTTTAGCGAAGTCAGGAATACTCACAGGCAGTTTCCAACAGTGGCAGAAAAGTTACTGTGGCAGTTATTTGTCTGATAACAGAACGAATTTCATCCTGAATAGCTTTGTGAGATTTTTCTCGGGGTGCACTGGAAAGATAGAAAAACTCCGTTAAGAAAGCAAGCTTCTACTGACAGTTTTCTTTAAATGCAGTTCTGTCTGTTAAGCTCTGCTGGTCTGTTTGCTATAGGATTTTTTTTTTATAGTAGTGAGTGACACTCTTTTGAGCTCTAGGTGGATAGGCTTAGGAAAGTTGAGTGACAGTTCCTCTTTATTGTTTGGTTTTTTTTTTTGTGAAGTTTCACAGTATTTGTAATGAATGTTACATTTATTCTCAGTCCAGAATCTATGAGAAAATTTTGGCATAACAACAGGAAGGCGGTACTTCTTTAGGGCATGTACCCAATACAGGATTTTATATACTTTGTTGAAGATTAAAAATCAAGTTTTGATCTAATGCTTTAAAAAGACCCACAAACACAAAAAGCCACACCTGAGGATTACATATGCTGCAGTCATATGTGTGTTTTAGAAACAGAAGGAATAGCATTAAGACAGGTATTAGGTTTGGTGAGGTTTGAAGGAACACCTTCCATGTGTGTACTGAGAAAAGGCTCTCTCAGCTGCTCTGAGGGGCCAGAACAGTGCTGACACACGTGATGTTTGCCTTGTGCCTGCGCAGCTGTAGGGAAGAGCAGGTGCTGAGGAACACTGACACTCACCTCTCATCCTTTGCAGCTTTGTCGCACTCTATGTCGAACTGCCACCGCTCCAGAACCTCGTTGTTTTCGATACTCGAGATGACCACCACCAGGCGCTGCACGATGCACCTGTACAGCCACTCTGAAAGAAGC